TGGATTTTCAAAGTCAACCAGTTCTTTGAGTTCCATAACACCCCCACTAATCAACAAATTCAGGTTGCTTCGTTCTACCTCATGGGTCTGGCCTTGACTTGGTTTCAATGGATGTTCAACAATGCCTTGCTCACATCTTGGGAAGCTTTCCTTCATGCTCTTGAGCTTCATTTTGCTCCTTCCAAATTCGAAGACCTCATTGCTGCCATCTGCAAGCTTACACAGACCAACACCCTCCAAGAGTATCTTTCTGAATTTGAAACACTCGCTAACTGCATTTTTGGCCTTCCCCAAAGTTTCTACCTCCATTGCTTTACCTCTGGACACAAGCCACACATCCGTCATGAGATCTTAGCTTTACAACCAGCCGATCTTTCCCATGCCATTGCTCTTGCGAAACTGCAAGATGACAAAAATTGCACCACACCTTTCCCATTCTCACGCTTTGCTCAACCTTCACCACCTCCATCTCCACCTCCACCTCCACCCCAACCACAAACTATCTCTCCTAAAACCCTTCCACCACTCTTACCCACACCTCCTACCAAGCTTCCCATTAAACGACTCACCGAGGCCGAAATGCAAGCCCGTCGTGACAAGAACCTATGCTATAATTGCGATGAACGGTACACCTGGGGGCACCGTTGCAAACCGCAATTCCTTCTTCTCACCACGGTGGACACTGATGACCCTCCAGAGGAGCTTGTCGAGTTGAATTTTGATTCCACTAATGACTCACCGTTAGAGGCAGGTCTCATCAGCCTTCACGCGCTATCAAGGGGCAATGGAACCCACGCACCTTTCGGATTACTGGATCCATAAATGGGTATAAGGTGCAAATATTAGTAGATAGTGGGACGACCCATAAATTTATCCAGACCCGTGTGGCCCAGTTCCCCAGTTGCCATTGGAACCTACAGCTAGCCCATTACAAGTAATAGTTGGAAATGGTGACTTTCTTCCCTGTTCAACATTTTGTTCTGAGGCCCAATTACCACTTACTAACCATACATTTCCTATTTACCTTTACCCTTTAGAGCTCTCAGGGACAAATGTTGTTTTGGGTGTTCCCTGGCTTTCATTAGTAAGCCCATTTGTCATGTACTATAGTGGCCCATTTATGAGATTTATATGGCAGGGCAAATTGGTCCAGTTACAAGGGGACACGGGCCCATCCCCCTCACCCATTTCAGTCCACCAATTGCGACGCCTTCAACACACTAACCACTATTTCATTTTCTTCCCCTTCCCTCACTGCTCTTACTCTGCAACCACCACAAAACACCCCTTCTTCTCTACCCCCAACATCTGAACCACGCCTCGCTGCCCTCCTCCACCGTTACTCCACCCTTTTCTCCACCCCCACGTTCTTACCCCCCCTAAGGCATAACGACCATTCTATCACCCTCCTCCCAAACACACCACCAATCTCCGTCCGCCCCTACCGTTAACCACATTTTCAAAAACAGGAAATTAAGGTACAGGTTCAGAAAATGCTGGAGTCGGGTTTCATTAAACCAAGCACAAGTCCTTACTCGTCTCCTATTCTTATTGTCAAGAAGAAAGACGGAACGTGGCATTCTTGTGTTGACTATAGGGCTCTTAATGTTGCAACAGTGAAGGACAAGTTTCCCATCCCCATGGTGGACGAATTGTTGGACAAATTGGGGCATGCCTCGTGGTTCTCCAAACTCGATTTGTTTTTGGGTTTTCATCAGATACTTATGAACCCAAAGGATGCTTCCAAAACAGCCTTTCACACACACAATGGTCATTTTGAATTTCGTGTCATGTCGTTTGGACTGTGTAATGCCCCCTCCACTTTCCAATTCACAATGAACGAGTTGTTCCATCCCCCATCTTCGCAGATTCATCATTGTTTTCTTTTATGATATACTGGTCTACAACCCCACCCTCGAGACACACGTCACTCATTTAGAAACTACCTTCCACCTACTGCTCTCCAACATTTTCCACTTGAAGGGGAGTAAATGTTTCATTGGTCAGCAAACAATCCACTACTTGGGCCATGTAGTTTCTAATCACGGGGTTCAGCCTGACCCTGACAAGCTCCAAACAGTTAAAGACTGGCTAGTTCCAACATCCACTAAGGCTCTCCGTGGTTTTTTGGGTTTGACCGGTTTCTACCGCCGCTTTGTTTCGGGTTTTGCCAAGATAGCCAATGCCCTCACTGATCTGCTAAGGAAAGATGCTTCCCTCTGGAATGACCAAGCCCAACAGGCCTTCGACCAACTCAAGCTTGTCCTGTTAAGTTCACCTGTGTTAGCACTTCCTCGCTTTGACATTGTCTTTACCATTCAAATTGATGCCTCAGGCTCCGGTATGGGTGCTATTTTATCACAAAACGGTCATCCAATTTCATATTTTAGTAAAAAATTTTGCCCTAAACTCCGTAATTCTTCTACTTACATACGTGAGTTATGTGCAATCACCACTGCTATGCAGAAATGGCGGCAATACCTCTTGGGTCAATACTTCATCATTCAGACAAATCAGCGTTCTACAAAGAAACTTCTATCCCAAACTGTTTTGACCTCGGAACAACAGTCTTATTTGTTTAAAATATTGGGATATGATTTTGAACTCCAATACAGACCTGGGAAAAGCAATAATGTTGCTGATGCCCTTTCTCGAGTTGAAATTCCTAACTTGGATACCTTACTGGTCCTCTCCTTTCCTCAGCTCGACTTTCTCAATGATTTAAAGCAATCATTGTCTTCAAACTCGGATTTCACTGCCATGAGGGACAATATACTGGGCAAACCAAGTGATTTTCCACTATATTCAGTACAGGGGGAGTTGATTACCTTTAAGGACAAAATATGGTTACCATCTTCCTGTGCACTAATACCTCTTTTATTGCAGGAATATCACTCATCTCCTATGGCAGGTCATACAGGAGTTACACGAACTCTGGGGTGTTTGATGGCAAATTTTTATTGGCCCTCCATTTGCAAAGATGTCCAATCCTTTATCAGTCAATGTGTTACTTGCCAACAGAAGAAGATTCCAGCACAGAAGCCTTCGGGTCTTCTTCAACCAATTCCTCTGTCGTCACAATGCTAGGAGGACATTTCCCTTGATTTTATTGTAGGTCTTCCTTCCTACAAGGGGTACACAACCATTCTAGTGGTGGTTGACCATTTTTCGAAGGCTGCCCACTTTGGAATGCTTCCTCGCTCCTTCTCTGTCACTCACGTTGCTGACATCTTCGTCAATATAGTATGCAAACACCATGACCTTCCCCGCAGTCTAATTTCGGATCACGATCCGATATTTTTAAGTCAATTTTGGTGGGATCTCTTCAAACTCAGGGCACCAAGCTTCGGCTGTCAACAGCGTATCACCGACAAAGTGATGGCCAAACGGAGGTAGCTAACATAGTCCTTCAACAATACCTTTGCTGTTTTGTCCACATCGGCCCTCATTATGGGGGAATTCTTGGCTTGGGCCGAATGGAGTTTTAACACAGCCATCAATGCATCCACTGGTCTCTCTCCATTTGAGGTTTGAGGTTATGTTCAGACGTAAGCCTCCTACCATTCCGTTTGGCTCTATAGAGTGCACTTCGAACACTGTTGTCCGGTTCAAATTAGCCACTATAGCAGATATTTTGCAAAAACTGGAGCGCAATCTTACAAAGGCACAGGCTTCTATGAAAAAATTGGGCTGACACTAATCTCAAGGACATTCAATTCAATGTGGGTGACTATGTTTATGTGCACCCCTGCAGGCAAGCTTCCGTTGCTGGTCCTTACATTAGCAAACTCCAAAAGCGCTTTTTGGGCCCTTTTAAAGTCACCAACAAACTTAGGGCAGTCGCATATGAATTGGAACTTCCCCCTTCTACTTGAATTCACATCTTTCACGTTAGCCTCTTACGCCCACATAAAGGCCCTCTTCCCAATCCACCACTCCAGCTTCCTCCCAAAATTGACGAGCATCAGCTCATACTGGAGAACCTACGACTATTCTAGATTGGAAGTGGAATAATTCTACCCCCAACCCTCAAATACAGGTCCTCATACAGTGGTTGGGATTACCCCTCGTGGAAGCAACTTAGGAGCCTTGGCATGTCATTCAGTCCCAATTCCACCTTGAGGACCAGGTGACCCTTGAACCCGCGGAAGATGTAAGGATCACTGGGCATATTACACTGATTCCCTCCAATGAGTTCACTACAGTTGCATCATCACAGTTGGGCCACTCCACTGATTCTGAGACTATGATTGGAAGGACTAATAAAAGGCAGCCTCAGCTACCTCAACACTTTAAGAATTATGTGGTGACTTTTCCTCATGCATGTGAAAAAGGCAAATCTATTAGAAATAATTAGGGAATCACAAGTTTGTTATGATTTTTCTGCTTTTCCTTTTCCTTTTATTTTAATTGTCTTGTTATTGTTAGGCGGTTGTAGGAATGTGCATATATAACACATTTTGGTGCAGTAAAAAGGGACAAGAAAGTATTTGGTTAATTATTCTCTCTCTCATTATTCTTCTCCTCCCTCTTCTCCACTGTTATTCTCTTTTCCATTTACTCTTACACACGAGCGGTGGGATTATAATTAAGAGGGTAATAATAGGTCACGGTGGCCTGGGCGAGTGTTCGAGTGGTGCGCGCGGCTCCTGGGGGTGCAATGGTTGTGCCGCGAGGATTTGGCATTGAAGATGGGTGACTCGGTGATGAGGCGATACGAAGGGTTATTTGGGTGGTGCTCACGGGGTGATGAGTCGAACCGCAGGGCTATGGGCTGGCGGTGATTTGGGGGATTTGCACGATGGAGGTTTGAAAGTGAAATTATTGGTGAGGGTGCCAAGAACCGGATGAGGGAGTGGACGAAAATGGTGGTTGCGGTGAAGGTGGATGAAGGCGGGATCGTGGCTAGGGGAAAGAGATGAAAGTTATTAAGGGCTGGACAAGGCGCAATGAGGAAAATGAAGTGGGGAATGGGGTGAGGAGAGGGTGGTGGTGCGGTGATGATGGGTGGCACACGGTCAAGAAAGGGAGGCGCGATGCTGTGGAGGTGGGACTGGTGGCTCTTTGTGAAGTTGAGGATGGGGAAGGAAGTGGATGGTGGCATTGCAGTGAGGGGATGTGAGGCTGGACGAGGAGAGGCCGGGAGGTGCGACCAGATTAGGGTGAAATGGGAGAGGGAGATGAAGATGAGCAGTAAGGGAAAAAGAGATGTGAAGGCTACTATGTATGATGATGGATATGGATGTGGACCTCCATGGTGGATGAAGGAAGAATTGTGTGAACAGTTGAGAGATAGAGACCAAAATGGGTGAGTATGTTGGCTGGAACACCAAAAAGTAAAAGAAAAAGAAAAATCTCCCGATAACAAACACTTGGAGCCCCTTTTCTCTAGAATAGATTAAATTCAAAACATGTAAAAATAAAAATATTTTAATTTTTCTTAACACAATTTTATTTTCAATTTATTTTTATACTTTTCTATTTATTATTTATAATTATTTTATTTTCCTTTTTTCTATAAAAAGCAAAAATGTTAGAAGAATTTTCTTTTCAGTCATATTTTTTTCTTTTTTGTTTTAGGTAAATATTAGGAAATATGAAACTATTTTTTTTCTTATCTTTTTAACTTTTTTTCATATTTAAATGTTGTTATTTATTATCATCATTTTATTTTTTATCTATTTATACAAAATTGGATAGTGACAAAGCTAATTAAGTAAGTTTCATTTAAATGTACTTAAAAAAATTGGACTGAGTATAACTTTAATAAAAAAATTAAAAATAAAATAAAAATGTGGTACTTAACATGATTTATGAAAGAAATAATAATAAAAAAAACAACAACTTACAACTAAAATTACATTACATAACACGATTTTAACTTTGATCACTCAAACATAATTTCTTTACCTGAAATCATGTATAAGGACGAGTTGACCAATTTTCATAATTTTTTTTGAATTCAACCCTATTATGTAAAATTTGTTTTTTTTTTTTTTAAATCCTGCTACATAAAAAAGCATTTTTATTGTACGATATTAACTTTGATCACCAAATTCGTCCTTGAAAACATGGTTTCTTTACTTGAAATCGTGTATCAAGTATGATTTGACCTCTTTTTGTAATTTTTTTCAGATTTGACCATAGTAGGTAAAATTATTTTTTGTAACTGTAAAAAAAGCTTTTTATTGAGTTAAACCAATTTTAATATCTTTATCTATAGTAAAAAAAGGAATTTATATTTAATAAAGTGTTGGGTCATTTTTTATTGATATATATATATATATATATATATATATATATATATAAATTTAAAATAAACTTTGTCATATGAATTAAAATATATTATTAATTATTAATTTTATTTTTAAATTTAAATAAAATAAATACATTTAATATTGTAAAATATATTTCAATACATGTAAACAATAGTAATAACTACATTATATTTATAAAAAAAAAAGGCTGGATTTCTAATATAAATGTTTTTTCTTTAGATTTTGGAAAAAAAAATAAATTAAGATGATTAAACTTATGAGGAATATATATATATATATATATATATATATATATATATATATATATATATATATATATATATTATTTAAGACAATTATTATGAAACGTACTATACTATATATTAATATAAAAAATGTTAGCCTATATTTTGTTTTAATCCGTAAGATAACATTAAAGATAATAAAACATATGAGATTCTATTGTAATAAAAATTTATATAAATTATTTAATACAACTGCAATATAATTTTAAGCATTTATTTTGTATACATACGTTGCTTTATCAATTTGTTCGTTACAATTTTATTATAACAAAATAATATTAATCTGTCGGTTAATTTTTATAACGTAAAATATATAATGATGTATAAAAATTGGAGAAGGAATGTTAAATATAACCATTTACAACTTTAAAATAACATACAATATTAAACTTTTTATCATATCCATTAAACGAGATCAAGTTTCTTAAAATTTGATATTTACACACAATCAATTTTTAACAATTGTCATATTTAACGAAAAAGACACTAAACCTCAACATATATTTAAATAGCTTTGATTATTTACAATTGGTCATTCTGATATATTTGATTTGAAAAGTATTTTTAATGTTTTGTAATGATGATTTGTAAACTTTACTTTCCATTTCATGTAATGATTGTAATATTTTATTATATTGAGTACTACCATTGACATTCCATTTTATGAACTTTTAATCTCCACCCCTGACAATGCCAAAATCAAATCATATATTATACACCAACAAAATTTCCCAAAACATATGGTCAAAGTCATACTCTAAATTATGTCAAATATTTAATGGTCATCGTAATTTATTATTTTCTTTCTACCTTAAGGTAGTCATTACCATGACACTAACTTTACAGTTCAATTTCAAAATAATGATCAAGTAGATTTCCTTTTAAATTAATCACTCTAGGAATAAAAGAACGCAACTTTCACTACTCGTAATAATCTATTAAAGATTTCACTGGTCACAATAACTCATACTTATGCAACTATAATAACTATGCCACAACAATTGCAAAGAGCATCATAGTAGCATATCCTATCAGATTCAAATCTAATTAATTTATTTCTTTATGTCTATTGAAAGAGTCATGGTCACTTGACAATCCATACATTCTATTAATCATAGAAATATTAATATAGTAATAAATATTATTATTTCCTTAGTATAATAAGTAATGGGTATAGGATGCTTCCCTTGTCCATTAAACATTTTCTAAAATGAAGTTTGTAATTGTTGATATATCATATATTATATATACAAGTAGTTATTTAAAATGGACTTAACAATTTTAATTGTCACATTTAGAAATTATTGTTTTCTTGTATGTATTGAGTGTGGGTACATTAAAACTTTATTATGTGTATAAATTGACAAGAAACATATGATGGTTAATATGGTTTGGAACGATGTTGGAGTCTTAGGGGTTGTGGGTTCAAATCCTGGCTAGAGTAAAAAGAAGAAAATAATGGATAAAAATTTTGTAATATAATCCGCTGAGCGCATGGAAATCCGCTGAGCGGATTATATTTGGAATCTCTCTCTTACTTGCGGCATATCCGCTGAGCGGAAAGTTAGGTGAAATAGGACTCAACCATTTGACTTTTAAATGAAACATTCTGCAAGTTTTTCGTAGTTCCTCGTTTCTCTCTTTCTCTTAAAACTTTTCTTACCTTCAAGCATCATTTTGAGGGAGAAATCTTGTTTTTCTTGAGAAGCTCCAAGAGGTAAGTTGGTTTATCTCAATCTCCTCTACATCTACATTTCTACCGTTTTATTTTTTAAAACGGTGCATTTTCTATTTTTATCCTCACTTGAATAATCTGAATAGGAGTAGGAAGAGTGTTATTGTAGGTTTTACACCTAGGTTATTACAATAATGTTTAAAATTGAGGATTAGAAGTGGTTAAGCTAAAAACTTTAAGAGTCCTAATTCGTAGGTACTATTAATTGAATTTTTGGGACTTGTGTGAACAGAATTAGGAATTGATATCTTCATAAAAGTTGTAGCTCTTTAAGTTGTAGAAATTTAGAAACTGATTTCACATTAAACGGATATTTATAGCTTAAGTTATGGACATTTTACTATGAAGTGTTCTAGCTGTGACGTTAAGAGGTAGCCCTGTTTCAACATCCTAGGTTTTTGAATTACTGAGATTGATACGTGTGAAATTAGGAGTTAATTCCTTCATAAAAGTTGTAGGAAATTATATCCCCGAAATTTAGAAATTTATTTCATGTTAATATCTTATGTGTAGCAAGAGTTATAATCCAATTACCAAGGCATATTCAGAGTGTTATTGTAGTTGAGCCTAGTTGGAAACAACCACTGAAAACTGAAAACCGCATCTATTCTATAGGGTATTTGAATTTATTTCCTTCATCAATATTGTAGTTAATTAAGTTATTGAAATTTTGGCTCAAATCTCATGCCAAAACAGTTTATATAACTCTAGAAAATTTCGAAATACTGAACCTTGTCCATGGTTGTTATTAGGATTCTTTCTACTCTAAGTGCCTACAAAATAGGATAATTTCTAAGTTAATTGTAAGCTGAATGTGAGCTTAAAATATTATTAGAAATGGATTAACAATACAAAATGAATTTAAATTCTCATGAGATAGAATCATAGAAATATAAGATTCTAACTAGCATTTTATTACGTATATAGATTTTGCTGAAACACAACATCAAGCTTTGAAAGGAATAAGTGTGAACGTATCAGGTAAGGGGTGGACTATATAGTAAGGATTACATCATAAACTTGTTTGACCTTATTTGTTGAATTTGTCTAAATTTGTTATGATTGATCATGAATTGCTTACGTGTATGATGGTGTAAAATATATGTTTGGTACTCTATTATGATATGTATGGTCTTTGAGTGAGCATTTATATGCATGGTGGTTTTTCATGAGAAAATTCATTGAAAATTAAATTGAAAGAATTGGATGATGGGTTGTGAATCCTTTTTGAACTGTATTGGAAGTTTTCTGCTTGTAACAGGTGATTGGAAATTTTTGGGAAGTCTGTATTACAGGGAAAACTCTGTCAAATTTTTGGAAAAATGTGAATTTCTAAGAAAAACCACTTAGGGACTCATACATTACTCATTTGAAAATGGTGATTTGTGAAATCTGGGGAATCGGAGATTATGGACTCTGAGAATACGATAGGGAGGCCCTGAGGGAGGACTTGAGGATAGGAAGGGTAGTGGTTGGAGGCCCCAAAAGACCCAGGCTCGCTACCTGTTGTCGGGGATCCCACTGTACAAACTCTGCTATACCTGACTGTGCTCTTACCGTATATCAATGGTCAGTGAGCTACTGGGTTTATATTTGAGCATGGGTCTCAATAATCCCGTGGGTGGATTTTCCATGCCTAGTAGTGTCAACTCCTGGCTACCCCAGTACTGATTTGATAAATGATTCGGGCCCGCATGCATAAACATTTTAGAAAACATATTAGGATCATGCATCATTAACATCAATTATTTGAAATTTGATTAACTTGTGAATGTTTATGATGTTGATTTTAAAATGATGTATGAACTGTTGTTCACCCTCTTGTCTTTCTGTTTTCTTTATTTCCTTTGTGCTTGCGGTACTCGTTGGACCTGATCGGTCATTGTTTGAAGAGAGGGGAGATGACACAGATTCCACACCCGATGAGTATGATACTCATACTCGTTAGCTGGGAGCCACAATGATGGCAACATGTATTGGGATAAACATATCCAAACTTTTATAGATAGTCTTTT